TTTCGTAAAAAAACTGGTTACTTTAAAAACCAGAGCTGCTGGTGCCTAATTATCTAGTAAAAAACTTGTTACTGTAAAAAAACCAGGGCTGCTGGTGCCTAATTATCTAGTAAAAAACTGGTTACTGTAAAAAAACAGGGCTGCTGGTGTCTAATTATCTAGTAAAAACTGGTTACTGTAAAAAAAAACAGGGCTGCTGGTGTCTAATTATCTAGTAAAAAACTGGTTACTTTAAAAAACCAGGGCTGCTGGTGCCTAATTATCTAGTAAAAAACTGGTTACTTTAAAAAAACCAGGGCTGCTGGTGCCTAATTATCTAGTAAAAAACTTGTTATTTTAAAAAACCAGGACTGCTGGTGCCTAATTATCTAGTAAAAAACTTGTTACTTTAAAAAACCAGGACTGCTGGTGCCTAATTATCTAGTAAAAAAACTGGTTAAAATATGCTCAACTAAACTGATCGAGATAATTGCTTAGAAAATCGTAATACTCACTTAACATTCCAAACTTATTTCAATTCACCTTAAATTTGTTAAAAAAAAGAAAACCAGAATTTGTATAATGTTTTTGATAGTCGAGATTTTTAGAATAATATTTTTAGTCTACGCTAAAAAAATCAAATTTGTTATTAATAAAGTTATTATTTATCATTCTTACTTCGTAGCGGTTATGTCTTAGGTTTTAGGTTGAACTGCTTCTTGTAAGTATGAGAATTTCAACTATTTATCTGCCGAATAGGTGTTAATATCCGGAAAAGCGAACATATTGGCCGGATACTGAATATTCGTTACTTTTGTGGCAAACACTTAAGGATTGTGGTAGTGAATAATACCGGTTAGTGTTGTGGTAAGCGCTTAAGAGATGTAGCAGTGAAACTTAAATTCAGTGTAGTAGTAATTGTTTTAAGATACGTGGTAGTGATAATGATTGAAATAATATCATCCATTGTTGCTCTAATCGTTACAAAGTTCCCGATTGGCTTGTGGGTAAAACATGAATAGTCCTGAATTTCTTATCTTCCCAGCGTCGTCCCGAAACACTTGTCACTCAGTAAAGGTAAGAAATAACGAGTTATCTGGTTTTATGACGGTCTTGCTTCAGCATGAAACGTAACTTAGCAACTACCTTTTCGTCTGAAGATAGCGTTTTAATAGCTAAATAATCGCAAAATTTCTATTTAAAAAAAACAAAACATTCTGGAGTGGTTTTTGCTTATTTTTTTTAAGTGCATGGATGGGACCCTGAGTTTAAGCTTTATACGCTCTCAAAGCCTTCCGCTGAGCCAGTGTGGGGCTTTGGATGAGTTAAATCGTAATTTGTAATAAGTTAAAACAACCTTATGGTTTTAGCAGTAATGTTTATCAATCCTTTTTGTCGTTCTGCGAGATCGTTTTACATTTGAAACGGTTTCGAGGATAAGGAATGAGATGCGTTTTGTAAAGAAAAGGATCTTTTCCGCTTTTGAAAACCATTTCAATGGCATCGCAGTTAAATGGCAAAGACTAAGAAATAGTAACAAAAGGAAACAAGATTTGGAGCCCGCGTTGCATTAGATGCTAAATCCGAAATTGTTGGAATGGAGCCAGCAAACCCCTTGTATTTTTTTAAAGATCCCAAATTCCGGCGTATTGACTTTTTCATACCGTGCTGCTGGTTTGTTTGAAGATTCTAAGAAAAGAACAAAGACGCTACCAGATTATCTTATTCTTCATGCTGTTATAAATATACGCTGGTTTTAATTTTTCTTGTTTGCTATACAGTCAGTGTTCAACGCATTTTTATCGAATACGATCTGGTGTTTTAGCATTCGTTTCCACTTTGTGTACATTTTTGCAAGCAGGATTAGGGGGGTAAAAAAAAGTACCCATTTTTCATGAAAAAGTATCCACCAGTTAATATCTGTTCTAAGGGGCATAAGTTAGATGGTCCATAAAGTCTAGTTTCTCGTATCGGAGAAAGTCGTCAGACTTGTTAATTATGTTCGTTACAGGATATATTCTTGCGGTCTGTCCTCTTTTAGTATAAGTGAATTTTATCGAACATGATATCACTATATAACTTTATGTTTAATGCAGTTTGCTACCAGTGTGACTGTACTTGGTGTTACGCATTAGCTGTTTTTCTCTTGTTAACACGGGCCGGGTAGTGGTGAATTGG